TTTTTCCCAGTCTAGGACCTTTGGTCCTGCTTTCCAATTAGTTTTTTAATTGCCATAGTTTAGTGCATACCTCCATTATATCAAATGGACAAAGAGGGACACTTTAATCATAGGGGTGTGTGTAGGGATGTGGCAGGGGCGGGCTGTTCTGAGAATTTTTAGTTTACTTACTAATAACAATTTATACAACACAAATGTAATTTAGAACAAGAACAATGTATCTTATTTACACAGACTGATTTCTAGACACATTTATTGTAGTTAAAAACACATTACTGTGAGCATTATTGTCATGGAGCTCTGTTATACACTCAAACAAACCAACAATACGGAGCTTAGAATAGAGGGACATTAGGATAGATAGGAGGGACAGCGGGATTGGGGTCCAAAATAGGGACTGTCCTTCCTAAACAGTGAAACGTGGGAGGCATGCTACTGACTATTGTATACCTGAGAAATACTAAGCCCTTTGAAAATTACTTTTTAACGAAAACATTTGGGCTCTTCACTACTGCTTAAGCTACAACATTTAAAGGTAATACAGTGATTACGGCCAATATTTGGATTTTATGACTGCTGTACTTGATTGTTGTATTTTGATTTAGATTTTTAGTTAACTGATCTACTGTACTGGAATGGGGTTACTAATTGTACCCTCATGTATAGGAACATTTTCTGTACTAATCAGCTTAGATTCATATTTTCAATTTGTGGACTGAATTAGTTTTTTCTATCTATCTATCTATCTGTCTGTCTGTCTGTCTATCTATCCGTTATGGTTTTAGGCTTTCTTCAACAGCTTTTAAAATCATGATCATGGTCTTCTGAACGTCTTAGAAATATTTCAGATTGTATAACCATTAAAAGAAATTAGGGTTAAAAACTAAGAAAAATACAAAAAGAGGTTTTTTTCTGATTAGCACGTTTTATTTTTCTTATTTCTCAATTCAAGCATTGCCATAGAAGACTCAGCAACATATATTACTGATAGAACATTATAGTCGATATAAGTACATTAAAAACAATCCAACAGAGGAAAATACATTTTAACATTCATGAAATATTCATAACAAAATAATATAAAGAAATCTTAACTTGATGTAACTTATGTGCCGCATAAAAGAAAGCCATCATGATTTTATTTTGCTTTTACAATCCTAGTCATGCCTCTCAAGACAGTTGATAGCAGTAGAATTCCGTTTAATTTTTATCTATCTATCTATCTATCTATCTATCTATCCATCTATCCTCTATCTATCTATCTATCTATCTATCTATCCTCTATCTATTTATCTATCTGTTATGGTTTGTGCTATTAAAAAAAAAAAACAAGCATTTTTATATTTCGATTAGCATCATATGCAGGTTTTTAAGGTACAGTTAGGATACTAGTTATCTGTCACTAATGGTGGCTGTGAGCTGTCAAATAAATGGTGAGCTGAAAGCTTAATGGCATTCACTGACCCAATGGCAGACAAAATCCTTCCTGATGAAGACACTTTTGACCAACAGTGATGCAAATTATGATATTGGATAATGCAGGCAATTTATAAAAATATGGTACTTGCTTAAATTGTAATGCAATATCTATAGTTATAACATTAAAGGCTTCCAGGAGGGTAGGTACATCCTTGACGTAGTGCATGATAGCATTTCTATTTGTGCTCCCTCCACTTGTATAGAAGTATTGGAGAAGAAATAAACACCTATATAATCAGAATATTATGCTGTGTTTGCCATTTTTGCTATACATATGAGTATTGTGAATGTTTTAAAGGGACACTATAGTCACCCAGACCACTTCAGCTCAATGAAGTGGTCTGGGTGCCAGGTCCCTCTAGGGTCAACCCTTCTTGATGTAAACATAGCAGTTTCAGAGAAACTGTTATGTTTACATTTGGGGTTAAGCCAGCCTCTAGTGGCTGTCTTCTGGACAGCCACTAGAGGCGCATCTGCAATGATTGAGGCATATTGTGCCTCAATCACGCACAGCATCCGCAGGAAAGCATTGAAAAATGCTTTCCTAAGGACACTTTGAATGCGAGCGTGGCAGTGTGCGGCAGCGCGGCTCCTGTGATGTCGGACGAGGATGCTGACGTCGGCGGGGGGAGGAGAGGTAAGGGAGCCCGGTGCTGGAATTAGGTGAGCTACTGAAGGGGTTTTAACCTTCAGCGCCACGGGAAGGGGACCCTGAGTGTGGGGGCACCCTCAGGGTACTATAGTGTCAGGAAAATCGATTTGTTTTACTGACACTATAGTGTCCCTTTAATGATTTATTTTACCACTGTGATTGCAAATCATGGTATCTGTTTTCACCTTTTAAGCTATGTGAGAGTTATGATTGTTGACCCATCAACATTACATTGCCCCATTCATTCTTCTAGCTTAATAACCAAGTCATCAATATACAAAGCAAGAACCATGAGTCTTGGTGATATTCAACCTATGAATTCTTGCTCGTAGAATGATTTCCTCAGGGAAAATGTCAGGTTGAATCCTCTGAAAAAAATACTTTGGATGTTTCCTCTTCAAAAAGCTTAAATGCTGAAGATAAAGAAAATCCTGTATGTGCTAAACTTAGAAAATTTACTAAATTCTGTTTCTCCACCTGCCTGGAGGATCCCCTGGGAGTATGTGTACCAGCGGGTGTATATATATATCTACATAGTATAGTGGTGACTAATGAACATGATGTTTGTGAGCACTATGGTACTGTTCTACTTTCTTCGTGGGCCTTTGCTAAGTGTGTGACCTTGGAGATACAAAATTGATGTAGAAGACATGGTGGGTATGGCATCCTTGCTTAAGAAGCAGGTAATGTATACACCTATGTTGAATCATGGCTACTGGAGACAGTATAATGTGATTCTAGGTTTCTTTGAATTAACCCAAAAATTTGAGAATTAAAAGTGTAACCGTTTAAGATCCTTAGAAGATATTAGAATTGGGAGCATTTGAAGATGATACATGAGATTTGACATTAAAATACTTTTAATCAGACAATACCTTACGAGTAGAGAAATCAATAAATGTTCCCAGCCTTTTGATAGGTTTTCAATTGTTTTATAATTATAATGATATTGAGAAGATACAGGGGAGGTATTTCCCTCGGTAGAAAACTTCTAAGTATCTTATGTGTTCCTTCTGCCTTTGTAATGGTACAAGCGACAACATTGTGGTGGGGACATAGGCGTCTAAAGGCAAACCAGATGATTTTTTGAGGTTAATATCCTCCGCTCAACTATAAGTTTAGCTTGCTATTGTGAGGTGACTAATAGGAATACACATAAAGGACTATAAGGTGCGTAACAGACATTTGCACCTCCCAGAGTACAAAACATTTGTACAGATTTTTGTGCACAAGGAGCCAAATAAATTCTAAATTAAGTTGTAAAAGGATATACCAACAACACAATATTTAGGACCCGTGTGCATCAAGGCTGAGAAGGAAAGCGATTAGTTCCAGGAGGAAGTTATTGCTGCTATGGCCACCCTGATTTCTTAGATTGATTGTCTAGGCATGATGACAGCAAATGTGAAAATTTTTTTCGAAGAACTCAAGGAGTAGGTGCCTCTAGTGGTTGCAAGACTAACAGTGGCTAGAAACATGTTCTTGAACATATGTACACTTTACTGTTTCTTAATACAGCAATGTTTACATTTTCTGAGAAAAAGTCAGCATTTATGAACCAGTACGTAAACCTGTCTATACATGAGATAAGACATTTCTATGCAATCAACACTTTATAGCTTATACCTGAACTGTAAAGCCCTCTATTAATTAGTGCTTAGCTATTTCACCTCAGCTTAGCTTAATAGCCTAATATGGCATTTCAATAAAGTGTCAATAATCAAGAATTCTCAGTGAATTCAAAGAGAATTTCAAAATTCAGGTTATAAAAGGTCAATAGACAACAGCCAAATTGTAGCATGTTTGCCAATCTGCCAATTTGGCCTAAAACTAGACATTCATTTTAAATTCTAGATAATTTACACTCAATAAATAACCTTATAACTTGACTCTGTGGCTTTTTATTGGCCTCTTTGAGTATCCTGTTTCAGTTGCCCAGCAAGAAAAAGAGAATTGTTACTTTTCTTCACTATTTAATTTTTTAAATGTTTAAAATAGTTTCACCTTATTTCATCTTTAATCAGAAGATCTCAGAATTTCAAAAACCACAAACTGTCGCTGACTAAGTCTCTAAACTCCATGAACCCCTCTCTAGAGAATACATTTCATAAAACATCATTGTAATGTACATTGTTGTGAGTTTGCTGAACTTGTGTTTAAATAGAACTGTAAAGTCCAAGCTTTTACAAAGTGCTGAGATTCCTTTGGGATACATTCTAATATCAGTGTATTTTTCTCTGACATTGCATCCTACATGGGGAATGTGTACACTCAAGGGCTTTAGGGATAACTGGAGATTCCACACATAATGCTGACAAAGTATCCATTTACTAGAATATTTTACTAGCAGCTATTAAAGAAACAACAGCAGTCAAAAAGATTTAGATCAACATCAATGTTATGACAGTGCACCTAACTCAGTGTGCCACTAATCCCATTAATTGATTCGCACACAGAACATTCTAGGACCTACCAGATTTAACATTTCCTTTATTTAAAGGGCTACTCCAAGCACCATGACCACTTCAGAGTCTATATGTGCGGCATTTTGCTATGAATCAGTGTACATATTGAGTTTAAACCCTTTGCAGCAGGAGGTGTGACTCTGGCTTCAGCAGCATCATTGGGGCATCTTTTTTTATTTTTTTTATTTCAGACTTGTACCTGCCCTGCATGCGTTTAGTATAACTTATGTAGTATGGACTTGGTGCAATGTCATGATCAATATATCTTGAAGGTCTATTAGTCTTACTGTTCCCTCCCACCCGGGTCCCCCCCTATCTCTATGTTAATTCTTGGTATAAGTTTTTTTTTGTCTATCCACTTTACTCATCTGGTAAAGTTCCTTCGTTCTCCTCCTATCGAGGGGAAGCAAAAGACCAGATGAAGGGAGGAGAAGAGAAGAAAAAAAAATAACCCTAATCCGGGCAGATAAATAAACAGAATAACAAAATATTGGTATTGGAGATATTGGCGATAGCAAGAGCCTCTTATATCCTGTATGGTTTCAATATTTTGTTATTCTGTTTATTTATCTGCCTGGATTAGGGTTATTTTTTTTTTCTTCTCTTCTCCTCCCTTCATCTGGTCTTTTGCTTCCCCTCGATAGGAGGAGAACGAAGGAAAGAAGAAACAAAGAGAAAACAAAAAAACTACAACAAACAGAAAAAGGTCACTATGTGAAGCAGGGATGGCCTAGTATATTATCTAATTTATTTATCCATGTATCCTAGTCTTCATCATCGGGGCATCTTTAGCCAGCCAACAAGAGGTCTATGCTGTGCATCGTCCTATTTGCATCCACATTCTGCAGCTCTGCAGAAGATGGATGTTGTCACAGCGAGCAGGAACTAACCCTGTGTGCCAGACGGGAACCCAAGAAAAATGTCAAACCATTGCAAAATGGTTTGCCCTATTGCCAGGGAATGGCATCAGGGTGCTCCTACCAGGAGGGCTATAGTGGTTATGATACTTCAAGGGTCAGTTACTCATTTTTTCCTCCCAGTGAACATTATTGGAGCACTTCTTGGAGTATTAAATGCAACCAAGGTAAGTAATGTATAGAACACACTCTCATCATCACAACTACTAGATTTTACTACAGTTGCTTTGGTGCATGGATGATTTCTCTTTTCTTGAACACTGTAATTAGCAATGTGTATTTGTTTGAGAGCATGCCTCAACTGACTATCAGACATACAGCCACTACAGGAGCTTGTTATAGACGACCTTAATAAATTAAATTAATTTTTTATTTTTTTCCTACTTTTCTAAGTGAAGGTGTTTTTTTTGTTGGTTTTTTTTACTTTTTGTTTAAAATTATAAAGGGTGACCCTTAATTTTAACCAGTAAGGGGATATGCTAAAGTTAAAAATAAATATATATCCTTTTGACCCTAGAGTGTTCCTTTAGCTCTGATACATTTCAATATGGTGGAATGCAAGTTGTTCAATGATACTACAGGTAAGATCATGTGTGCGCAAGTATCTGCTTGTTATCTGTATGTCATATGGCACCTACACAGGTGGCGGTTAAATCAACAGCATTGTATTTGCTGTCATATGATGCTAATAACAAAGTATCTAGATGCTGTCTTAGAGAAAAACACGAACAACTCATACTAACCTTTAGCTATCATTCGAGTTGTGCAAAAAATCGAGAAGTGGAAGTTCCTTCTCTACTTCAGTCCACAAAGATTACAAAAACAAATTTTTTTATCAAGATATTTTTTTTAATTGGTGCAGCTGTTTTAAAAAAACATGCAAGTCATTTTTCCTCATATTTAATTATACAGAATGTAGGGTTTTTTAAATCACTTTTTTAAAGGTTTTTCAGATTTTAAATTTACAAATATTATAGGAAGGCTGTGATTGTTACATAGAGTGACTTATAAAAGGGATATCATTCACATTGCAATATCAGGTAAAGTCAAGTAGTAGGATTAACCACGAAACAAGACAAATTACACAGACAGACTTAGAACATCAACCCATCTCAACCCAGGAGGAACTTATAGAACAGGGAATATCACTACCCAAGGTCTAGAACATTATTAAAATGGAATGCGATAGATGGGAGACACAACCTAGGCAACATATGTTTTCACAATGACTCCCTGAGGTTCGCAGGATTTACGAGACTAACAAGAACTAGAGCCTACGGTCTACTAAGCTCGCATACATCTTGAAACCTTCCCAATGTACAAATGTTATAAGTTTATGTTTATTGAAATCATTATGGTTAAAGAAACTTGCAAGACTTACTGTTCAGTTTTTATATATAAAGTAAACATAAAAATCACACTCAAAAAAGGAGATACCACAAGGGACATGTGTGCCCGTCAATATGGTGGGCCTGCGAGCCCAGATAACTGTATGCGTCACCTGATACTAGTTCTTGAATACACCACATAATTGTTTTAGAACTTCCTATTTCTTCAGAGATCTGCGAATCTCGAGGTTGTATATATCAGCATGAACAAATAAAAATCAGATTTACAAAAAAAAAAGTAGTAGGATTAAGTGTGAGTGATTGAATGCAACAAAACACAATTTATTCTTTACTGGAGACATTCTCTACACAGATATAGAAAATATCAGAAAAATTACTTTTTTTTTTCCCCAAGTGACCAAGGGTAAAATGGATCCTGATGGGAGCTAGAAGCTGAAGGACAGAAAACAGAAAAGTTGGAAGTCAAGAAAGAAGAAATCGGGGCTAGATGTAAGCAGTAGGATGAGTGAGTGGTGTTAGGCTAGGATATATTGTAGCCCACAAGCCCCAGACCTTAGTCTGTTACTGTTATATAGGTTTGTTGAGCATTCCTCAATGGTGTATATGCACTACATCTTGTAATAAGATGAGAGATTGAGATGACAAGCCATCTACATGGTTGTCTACTAAAGAGAGAGTTGGCAGGAAATCAAAGTGATTTAGAAAATATAGCCCAAAGTAGTCATATTAGAAAAATTATTTAGGTCAGTTTTGATGCAGACCATATTAATCGGTCCTCCTGGTCTGGTGCTCAATAAGGAATTCAGAACACAGGCTGGGAATCTCATTGAATGCACTGAAGTACTGAGTGCTTAAACGGCAAAGGAGAGATTATTATGGTCTGCACCAGGCACACCAGGGAATCATTATTTTTATTTCTTATACTGCCAGTATTCTCAGACACTCCACCCGCCTGTGTCACTTTACAGTAGCGTCATCCCCAGTGCACCTGCAACATAACCAACCTCATGTTTACATGCCAGTTGAGAGGTCTATGGATACCCGTTGTGCATCCATAGATTCACCATTGCTGCAATATAAACAATGTCAGTCTTGCCATTTAGAGGAGCATGCAGAGGTGCAGAGATTTCCAACAGTTTTCATACAATATTTGTTCTTCATGCTGCCTTTAATAGCCCATGGCAGTATCACAGATACTGTACAGTACTGTATATCGTTTTTGCTTTAATCATGATAATTTGATGGATTTTGCTTTTTGAGTAATTTCATCTTTTGTCCCTAGACTAAGTTCAGAGAACTAGGTAGCTAAATTTGAAAAGATGACAAACTTAGACCTGGCTCATTTGAAGATCACTTGGGGCTTCAGCCCATTTCAAGCCCCTTAGCAAAGCCCCTGGCAGTTGAGCAAGGCTAGATAAATGTACTAGTTATTTCATTCTTATCCTATGGTATATGTGATCAGTCAGTGGTTTGAAAATTCAACCAAGCAGGGAAATTGATGTGCACGGACAAAAAGGAAGCAGACATGTCCACATAGTTCACACTGAGGCAGCTTATAATTGCAAACATCCAGTTTATATGTAGCCAAGTTAAAATTAATCATAGCATTGCCATTTGACAGTGATAGTTACAGTGTGAAATAGCAGACTGGCAGGAAAAAAATAAGCAAAGGTTTCTGCACCCTCACATCAAATGGTTTGTAAATAAAAAAATTAAAAATACCATGTACTGTTTATGCTGATGGCACTTCTCATGAACGTAAAGCATGGCTTAATTTTTCCCCCTGTCTGTCTGCTATTTTACCCTGTTAAATTATGGCTGTCAGATGGCAGAGAAAGATCCAAATTCAGGATCACAGCATCCATGAACATTGCCTGTTGTGACCATAATGTTTATTTACAGACAAATCCCAATCCCTAACTGCTTATTGCATACTAAGTGCACACCAGTCAGACAATATAGCTTATATCAATAATAATTTGTGCACTGTGAATCATAGAAGGTAGGAAGCACTGTGTTCTTCAAAACATTTGTACATAGCATTTGAACAACATCAAACATCAGACATGGAACATGATTTCATATAATGTTCTTAATAATCAAATTTAAAGACACATGGAATACAGGACAAAATTTAAAATCAACCAATTAAATAAAAAACGTAAACACCTTTTTGTGTTTAAGGGTCAGGAGAAGGAATCGCATAGACATTTGAGAAAGCAATGTAGGCAAAACCAAGAGTTGATGTGGACAAGCAGAAAAATTAACAAACAAAAACAGAAACCAGCATTCAGCAAGGAATGCGGACACCCCACTTCAGCAGCCTTCATAAACAGAAGCAAAACTTAACTTGATGACCACAATGATCAATTACTTCTTGATGATTACAGACTGACTAGCTACAAGCAATGTCATTTCTGTAATGTCTACGTATGCTAATCCGAAGCATATGAAATGCTTGATCTTTTTCCAGCACAAAAGCACAAACGCATATGATATATCTTTTCCACATATTGCAAGTGTAACATGGAACAAATGTTAGATTTAAGTTTGAATAGTATCAAACCAAGAGTGGTTTATATATTATACATATTTAATGTACTTGTTTTTCAATGAAATAGGTTCTGTGTCGTATTTTGCACATCCAATTTAATGGGCAAATGCATTAAGTGTTTTGTGAACTTAGGCACCAAATATTCTTTATATACATCAATATTGGGCTATTGTATATTTTTTACTGTACATCGAAATAAAATATCTAAGAACATATTTTTAAATATTTTTAAATGTATTTAATTGTAACACAATGCACTGAGCAATTCTGTTGCCATGGATACTGGGTTATAGGTCTGTGACTTTTACCCTCATTACCAGTGAGTGGCATGGCCATGGGTACAGTCAAAAACTTTTTTGCTCACTTCCTGGCTTTTGCCTGAAGAGAGGACTAGTCAAAGACACAAAACCACCTCCAAGCTACAGGCAAGAAAAAAAACAAGCTCTGGCAGAGCAATCTGGCTATTCATCAGCAGAAATCACACACGTCACTGTGACATGTCCTGCCATATTAAATGGGCCAACATAAATGTAGCAAAGATTTCCCTTAGGGACTGGATACATATAGAATCAGATTGGTATTCTTTTCCATACATTTAGAAGGTAACACTAACAAGGGTATTGTGCATTGTTATAGGTATAGACTGTGTGTTGATATGCTATTTAATGTCAATGTCCATTGTTGTATACTCATTTGAAATCATTTTAAACAAATTAATGTTTCTGGTATTAGAATTGTAGAGGAGGTAAGACTGTTTTAGGAGCTAAATGTCTGACTCAAATTTAGCCCACGTATATAAAGAATTGAGGAAA